TCTGAAGCTCGTAGCTGAAGCCTGTAGCTGAAGCTCGTAGCTGAAGCTCGTAGCTGAAGCTCATAGCTGAAGCCTGTAGCTGAAGCCTGTAGCTGAAGCTCGTAGCTGAAGCTCGTAGCTGAAGCTCGTAGCTGAAGCTCGTAGCTGAAGCTCGTAGCGAGCCTTAAAGACAGATCTGTGATCTCAGTGGATGTATTTGGTTAAATTAAGGTAAATTGATCATTTTTTCACTACAAAGTTGGTTTTATTTTGAAAATCTTTGCATCAGCTCCTGGTTCCTGAGCATCTTACGGGTTTCTTGCCGACCACCATCCTCTCCACAGCCTGGACCTGGGACACGTGGTCATCGTTGGTCCTCAGCTCCCACTTCTGGATGCGTCCGTAGATGGCCACCAGCAGGTCCCTGGGGATGTCCTGGCCGTTATCCACACCTGGTGGAGACACACCTGCTGGTTTCAGACGACTCAGTGAAAACCTGCAGCCAACACCTTTCTTTGTTCCTTTATTCACCCCGCAGGTTCTTGATGAAGTCCTCCAGCTTCATCTTCCTCTCAGGCTTGACGTTGGGGCTGTACATGTCCGTGTTGAGGAGGATGATGGCGAAGGCCAGGATGAAGATGGTGTCCGGGTTCTGGAACTGACGGATCAGAACCGGGTTGCAGACGCAGTATCGCTGACTGCAGACAGAGAGACAGACGGGAGAAATGTAGGACTGACTGTCACCCCTGAAAGTCAAAGGCCCCGCCCACTTTCACACCTGAAGGCCTCCACCAGCCGCTCCACTCGCTGAGCTTCACCCTGAACCTTGATCTGAGCCTGGAACTTCCTCAGAGCTTCGTCCAGGTCCATCCCAGAGAAGTCCATCTCATCCAGGACGCAGCTGCACGGAGACGAGACAAACTCAGAGACACTGGAGGTCTGCATGTTGTCCTCCAAGTTTAACCTCTTCAGGTCCAGACGGTTTTCTTCATGTTTTTACTCAAAACATTATGCTGAAATGTAACTATCTCAGCTTTTATAAACTCTACTGAAATAATCCTGGTATCAAAATGAAGCAACACTCAGGAGACTTCATCAGAAGTTTAAATTATAAGTAAGATTAAATAAATAAGATTATAAATAAGATTAAAACAGCTGCTGTGGTTTTAGACACATTAGGGATGGAACATAATATTTAAAAACATATTTCACTGTCACCTGAATAAATTTTTCAGTAGTCAGTTTATGTGACCCGTCACATCGAAACGAGGATTAAGTCCAAAAGTTGTATAAGGAGAAACAGGCAAATATAGTGTTTTGACTAAAATG